AAAACAATAAAATTATATGAATACGGTATACACTCAATTTGAAAGCTTATTTTGCACCGAAAGGAAGTCTTTAAAATTTGACTTAGACTTCCGAAGATTTAAGTGCGTACATCTTTTTACAGATAGAGTTTTTGAGACAATAAGTAGTTGGTTTTATATGAGGTCTAGTTAAAAGAAATCCATTATATATCTATTAGATGGCCTTAGTAATCTGTATCTCGAGTTTGTAGTGCGATTACCCTATAACCTACATGTATGGCATTAGAAAGAGTAAATTTCAAGAAGAAAACCTTTCCAGTCGTGAATGTTAAGAATGTTTTGCTATGTATTTGGTGGGATTGACAGGGAATCATCTAGTATTAGCTGCCGCGCTACGGTAAAACTCTTAATCTTGACCTGTACTGTTAACAATTTGACAGTCTTAAGAAAGCATTCGAACAGAAGCGGTCCATTTAGGCTAATAGGCTTGGCTGCAATTAGAGAGTGAGTGTACGTTAATGATGTTGAACAGAACCATCAGCTCCGTTGAAGAGGTCAAAATCTCAAAGCACCTCACCGAACAATTCCACACCAGGCGAGGTTTTAAACAGAATGATTGCCTCTTGTGCGCCCTCCTCAATATAATGCTGGAAAAAGTGACACCCGCCACAGTAGCACTATCTACTTTAAAAGGACAATTCTACTGGGATACACAGATGACATTGATAGCATAGGACTGAGCAGTATAGCAGCGTCGCCGATTCGCGCAATCTTTTTCAGCCTAGAAAAGGAAGTAAAAGATGTTGATCTTGAGGTGAACCTGGAGGTCACACACAAAGATTCCTTGCATCTTGGGACGTCTACGTTATTGTTGGCAGCTATAAATTTGAAAACGTAAAGAACTTTGTTTATCACGGAACGAGCATAAATGCCACCAATAATCTAAAGAACAGAACAACTCTTGCCATCATGTGCTACTTTGGGATCGGTGGGTAACTAAGAAGTAAATTCTTCTCTCCACGAACTAAGTTACCTTTTACCATTATCGTATTATGATGAACTGAGATGAGAAAGCACTTTAAGCATTTGAGAGAACTGTTCTCCACAAGGCCTTTGAAGCCGTCCATGTGAGCGATCTGTAGCGAAGAAGATGAAACCACGAACTTTATGAGCCCTACAGCGACATGGTTATAGTTAAGCGAATACAAATCCAATGAATGCGCTAGCTAGGTCATGTCTTACGTATAGAAGATGATGTTCCAGTGAAAAGCTCCTTAGCTTCGAAGTCCACGGGTGGACAATGGCAGCAAGGACGCCCACGCATCCAATGGAAGGACCAATTACATAGGGACTTGCATGCACTTGGGATGTATAACTGACGTCGTCTCGAAAAGGAGTAGAGACAACTAGTGAAGTTGTGTTTTCTTGGCGCAGACTGACCCACGGTTGTTGAACTAATGAAGAAGTAGAACACATTAACTGTGTTCCATCAGAATAACGACACTTCAGAAGCTCCGGGAGCTCGGTTACATTCACCGTAGAAGGCTAACACCGTAGAAGGATTACTACCTGCCCCTGTCTATGGCGATTAATTCTTCGAGTGAAAAATTTGCTTCAAGTAAATGGTTACAAGTTATGAAATAAAATAGTACGTATTTGACTTAAATCGGATTTTTCTAACTATATTTAATATAGGCTTCATTTTAAGGCAGAAATTAGATTTTCTTTTTACTATATATTATATTATACATGACAGCTCCGAGCTCTCAGAGTCAAGCATTCGGATTTAAAATACTATTCTTAGGAATTCACATAATCCCCAATAACCTGTCGGTTCTCGTCATTTAGAAAAGTGTTTCTACCTTGATTGAAACAAGACTTTTATATTGGTTCGTCTCAATCCGCCAGAGTTGACAGTATTGTGCTCTTTGATAATTCTTTTAGCAAGCTGATGTCAGTTTTGAATGACTCCTAGTTCTCCCCACTGTAACTTTATAAAGCAAATAGGTTACATACGAATGTCATAATCAAGGAAACCCGTTATTTTCGCTAGAGTAGGGGTTTGAACACAAGAGCTGGCCAGGAAGCAAAGCACTTTTCAAGAACTTTAGGTTTTGAAGATAATGTTATACTACCTGAAATCGTGACATCTATCCCAGCAAATTAATAAATTCTTAACTCTTAGTCACCTTACCGCATGGCTTTGTGCTCCTTGAAAATTATGTACTGGAATTTACAACCAAAAAGCATTTTCGCACAAATTATACGCAACTAAAGACACAAAGGTCAAGAGTCCGTGTGAAAAACCGGAAAATTTGTGCAATACAGGTTTACTCATCGTCTTGTTGAGAGCAGTTTGCGATCTGTGACCAACAAGATCGCAGTCAATCTTATGCGTTCGCTTGCAATTCCCTAATCGTATGATGTTGTACAACAATAAATTCCGTTTTCTTATCACCACATTCACCACATTTAGCTACAGGCAATGTGTAATGTGTAAGCCACAAAAAAGTAATTTCGTTGCATGCCAAAAACCTGTACGGGGACGTCGCTCATTTTGGCACCGCATTCAGCGAGACCATGACGAAGGATGCTTGCTTGCCTCCGGTGTCAAGGCAAAAATGCAACATTCGAAATGTCCAATTATGTTAAACTTCCTAATTTTATTGTGCACCGTCTAATACCCAAGCTGCCGACCGACGGAATGGTCGGCTTGACTGCTTGGTAGACTACTTGCAACACCTGTTGCCACCATGGTTGCTGATGATGTTTGATGCTGCTTTTCGGTTGTCAAGCGAAATTTGGAACTTGTTGCCGGATTATTCGTAACCGTGCAGATGGACGTTGCAAGACAATCACGCGACCGTTGCTTGCTCAGTGGCAGGCAAGTGGATGCACAGTTAATGTTCCAGTGCCAACAAGTTAGCGCATTTCATAATCAGCTTAGGTAGTTTGTCATGGCTGGGATTTAGTTAATCACCAACAGGTGGCAACGTCGGTCACTCTCCAACATTTAGAGGCGAAACACTATACATGAAGATGTTGCTTGTTCGCCGGAAATTTTCGATGGTCGTAGTTGTGGCAACTGCGTGGTGGAGTGCAAAAGTGCAGCTGCAGCAATTTGGCTATAACGGTTGCATTGGTCAGTACTATAAATGTCTGTCTAAGTTTCCTGTAGACTCAAGCTTTAATCATTTACTTCTTTAAACCATCTTATTTCTGGAGAAAGCAGAGGACTAACGGCTCATCGAAGTAGTCGCCGTTGTTGAAAAAATTATATGTATATATTCATAACCTAGTTATTATAGATCGAAATACAAAAACCGAAAAAATGATTTTTAATAAGGGTATAAAGGTTTCTCTGAACTTACTACACCGGTGTGTCTAGGAACTGTTTACTTTAGTAAGGAGAGGAGGAATCGATTTGGTGAAGCTGTGTTTCTAAAAGAAGGTAGAAGTAACATAGAGTGTTTTAAATCGAGGGAAGCCCACCTTAAAGAGGAGAAATTCCTCATCAAAAGACTTTAACTTTTATCTGGAGATCGCTCGAGAATCCAATCGGTAGGAGTTACTGAATACAGCTTTTCGAAAAATAAGTTTAAAACATCGGCAGCAACAGTATACTCTGTAAAATGAGGTGAATGAACGTTCTTCTGAGATCTAAGACGTTCTCATTGCTTTTTCTGGTATGATCGATTTCAGAGATGAGATCCGGCATCGTCTTTTCAACATGGAACAATGTAAACCACAAGTCTTGCGAACTGAGAGCAATTTTAAATTTGAACTTTTCTCAGCTAGATTTACAATACTATGCATATGAATGACAGAGCGTAAAACAAAATAAAGTCTTAATACTTTAGCTGTCGATGAAAGAAAGGATTGAAACACAAGATCAAAGGGTTAAAACACTTCGAATTCTTCACACATTTAAACTAAGGGGTTTTCAAGTTATAAAGTTCGGCGGGACTCAGACTTTTGATGCCTCTTATTTTTCGCATGAGAAATTATAAATTTTTGCCGCCGATGGAACAGTTGTTGAACGTATAGTCTTACAGTTACCAAAAGATTATTACTCTAGTAATTTCAAATTAGCAAAGCCGTAGTTCCATAGTGTTAAAATGGTTCAAATGGGAGGCGACTCTATTGAAACTCTGTCGCCATGTGGATTCTCTAAAGAAAAATGATTCTGATAATAAGTAAATTCTATTCATTTATGCGCATAATAGTAAGCCAAGTTGTCACACTAGTTCGGCTATCTCTCACATTCCGGCAGCCACTCACATCCCCAAGATTACATTGTCAACAGTCCATCCTTCCACTGATTTTGCATTCATTTTAATTTTTATGAATTTTGTTATTGCCGCTCGCTGTTGTTGTTGTTGCTGTCATGAATGCCATCTTATCGCCTAAATGTCGGCAATTGCATGCCAGCCAATTAATCACTCTTCTCCCGCAAAACCGGCGCTCACAATTGCCGGTTGTCAGATTGGAAGGCACTGCTTCTACTGTAACTTCACCAAAAAAAAAAGAACAAAAAAAAAAGATCGTTGATTGCATCAAGTCTGCATTTGGACTCCCTTTCATGCAGCGAGAACAAGTTCCCATTCTCTTTTCCTCGATAAAAATAATAAAAACTAAAAACTATTTAAGAGAAGCCGAAAAATGCCGCACAACTCTTTCGGCGCATATCTACGAATTTCGAGTGTAAATGTAGGATAATTTGCCAATCAAGAAGTAAAAGCAAGCGAAAAATGTAGAAGGGGGACTCAGAGCCTTAGCGCGGCGCGTCGTGACGTTTGCGTTGTGGAGCGCAGTTGCAGCTGCAGTGGCATTGCGAATGCATTTTTGTGTTGCGTGCGTCGGGTGTTGCTGTTGTTGGGAACTGAGCGACGGGCAATGAGTGCATTTTGTGATCTCATAATTTCTCATGTATTTTCGTTAAACTTCGACGCTTATTGCGTCGTGCAATACATTCTTCGGCCATACAGCTCCCCCTATACCACTCCTCACCACCTACTTACCTTACATTGAGTTCCACGTATGCATGGTTGTCGTGTTATATTTCTCTGGCTTTCGGCTTATTCGTCAATTTTATATGCACTTTGCTTTCATTAGTTGTTAATTGTTGTTGTTGTTGTGGCATTTTTGCCAGTTGCTTTTCTTTTCGTTGTTATTATTTGCGCACATTTGCTGTAATTTGCGCGTCCTGTACTCAGCGATCTGGCTCGGCTTGCGGCGAAGGGTTCCGGGCGCTCACCAGCAACAACACATATCTATACACATACATACATAATGCTGGTGGGCTTGGCAAAACACATACGAAAATACGAAAAACCTTGAGGACGGTCAGTGACCAAGTCAATGAATTTTGTACGAAAATTTTGTCCGCTCATTTTGCTCGCTTCCTTTGCTTTGTGCGCTCGTTTATTTTGTATGTCAGTTTTTGTTGTTTTTGTCTGTGCCTTTCGTTTTTGTAAATGTACGAGTAATTTTGTTTTCGGTTTCAATTTCGTTTCGGTTTGTTTGTCTTTTTATTTTCCGGTCTTTTTATTGAAGCTCTGTTGTTTTTGTTGGTTTTAACTCGATCCTTTTGTTTTGCCTTCGTTTTCATTATTTGGTTTTAGTTATTTTTTAATGTAAAGCAATTTGTGGCAGTTCGATGAGTTATTGAGATCGCGACTTAAGTGGTAGATATAGACCTGATAGGCCATGAACTGTACATTTTACTAATTTATTTAGGAATATCGTCGTCTCTTTATCCATTGCAATTATTGGCAGAGCGAGTCTAATCGGCCAACGGTTTGCATCCAAACGTTTTGCTGGTTCTTTCTAATAATGAAAACGAATATCTTATGGAGATCCTTATCTTGAGTTTGATCGTTCAATTTTTGCGGCAGCTATATGTTATCAGTTCTGAAATAACGTGAAATAACGGACATATAGACAGTAATATTAGTTAAATCAACTTAGCTCGTTATACTGATCATTTATGAATATAAATTCTCGATGTTTCAGTTTATTTAACGTCTCATAGAATATCGAATTTCTTAAGCATCAAGCCGTTTCGCCGTGCCGTGTGCGTCATTTCAGAGCTGAGCGACTTTTTTCCGATCTTTAGCCGTAATGAAGATCTAATCGGCGAGTTTAAGATCTATTCGGAAGCTACTTGTAAAGACAAAAATGGTATTGAAAAGTTGAAAGATCGCTAAAATCGGTGTATTGCCCTCGATTGAGTCTATATCGAATAATAAAATCGAGTTTTATGAATGAAATGTGTTTTTCAATAAAACGATATGAGCTTTTCAGCCTTCCCGGAATATGAGCATGTTCTCATTTCGTACTTTTATCCAAAAAACACAATATCCCAAATGGTTATAGGAATGTTTTCTTTGTTGCATGCAAAAAAATATCCCCTTAATATTACTTATACCTATGTATATATCCGACTTTCTTCTATTACTACATTGACAAGAACTCACCTGAACCAGTAATCTCAAGAAAATACTCCAAATGTACTGCTAAAGGAGCATTAAGTATGAGAATAATAAGCAATAAGCTTCAGTTCATCGAATCAGTCTTTTATGATGGAACTTTGGACGTTTCTTAAGGAGCTTACAAGTCTTAACTAAAACGTTTCCTTAACTCGAAGAATTTTTTAATTAGTCATAGGCGAAGGTACATCAGAGAAATACCAAACTGCTAGCCTTTAATCTGATATCAATATAACCATAAAAACAAACAAGTTAATTACCGCCTAAAATTTAGCAGTTTGTCACCATCTTTTTCGGCAAAAGCTACAAAAGTATTAGAATTCCCATAGTTTGGGCTTAAATCAACCACTCTGATTGCATTGTGTATGTGAACGGACGGAGATAAATAGGGTTCTACAAGTTCTTAATCTACTATGAATTAATACCATATATGATGGATTTTCATTTTTCGTCTTAGAAATATACGCAGAGACTTAAAATAGTTTGTGAAGTGACGAAAAAGCTCTAACATGGCTCGCACAAGGCATTATTTCCAAGCGAGCCAAAAGTGCAGAACCAGTCGAATGGCTCTTACGCATTTACTGAAGTTGACTAAGTGGACCCGATATTTTAGATCAAACTGGTTGGCCGATATAAGTGCACTCCTAGATTAGGACTTGGTACTGACCTTCTTAATTCGAATGCTTTCTTAGAAGTACTGAACCTATTGTTTCTCCAAATATTTTGATTTTTCTAATAAATCAGGAATTTATAATAGATTATAATCTATAATTATAGATTAAAACAAATAATTTTTCCAAATACTTTCACCATTGCTGTATTCTACAATTTTTACATATATGAATATATCATACATATGTACTAGTATATGTAGTATATAAAGTTCTCATGGTTTCTCCGCTTTAGTATTTATTTTCTTAAACGCATTCTTCTGCGTTTAATTTCGTTACAAAATTAGACTTTGATTTCACTTTCGTCAGCCGAATGCCAACTGCCTACGCAGCAGCTTCTAGTGACGCACACATATTTCGGCTACAAATACGGTACATATATTCGACTGCATTATGTATAGCATGAACCATGCGATAAACTGCAAGCTCAAATTCAGTCTCCTGCCCCGGCACTTCAGTTAATACCAATTTTAGTCTGCCGTTTGACAGAGAACAAGCGATCGTGTTTTATTATGAGTGTACACCAACAATTTGCGCAGATCGCTTGTCTTCGGTTTAGTCCAAGTCGCCCCCTTTACCCGCCAACTATCGCTCAGCGCCGCAGTGCGCACCCTCTTGCAATTTTCAGTTCTTTCGTCACTCGTGCGACGAGCCGGTTTCGCATTTTGGTTTTCGTTGGTTGCTGTTTGCAATGCATTTGCTGTTGCTGTTGTTGTTGTATTATTTTTAGCTCCGAAATTTCAGTTTCGGCCGGTTTGGCTACCCATGAACGCCTGGCCTGCTGGCCTGGTCTGCGCCGTTGCGTCGCGCCTTCGTCGCGCAGCGCGCTGTGGCACCAGTCATCCTCCAGCTCATGCCATTCGACATCGGCGCAACCGGCACATGGATGGCCATGGCCAATGCACGCTCGACTGGGGTAGGCCTATAAATCTACTCCACTGCCATAATTTTTTCGATATTCGTTTTGGGCTGCAATTTTGTGTGGCGCGTACAACTTGCGGCCGCTAGCGTTGCGCGCGCCGAACCCCACACATCAACCATGGATGGCATGGCAGCAACTCAATTGTTGGCCGTTGCCTTTCGGTTTTTGTGTATGTTTATAGTTGTTGTTGATATTGAATTTTCATTTGTCAAGGCCAAGCGGACGTTGAACCGCGTTTGCGTGCGCGCATTTCGGCTGCGCGGCTGACGTCGCCGCTGCTGTCGTCTTGATTTTTGAATGCATTCAAATTTGAATGTGACCGCGCGGTTCCGCGTACAATTTTTGAGCAAGTAGTTCGGCGCGTGTGCATGTGTGCGTGGCTGTGTGTGTTTTGGCAATAAACAGCATTACAGCAATAGCAACAACAGCGCCGGCAGCATACAACCGCTGTGGCAATGGCAGTGGCAGTCATTGCGGTCGAAGTAGTAGTTGAAATAAAAATGAAATTATGGGGGAACCGTGACGTGGCAGTGGCAACGAATGCACTGAAGTGCGCAATTAAGTTTTTGTGTTCGTGTGCCCCTCCATGCGCGCGGCCACAAGACCGCTTTAGAGCGTGTTGTTTTTTTGTATTTCATATTTTATACGCTGCTGCAATGGGGCTGTTTGCTTCAATATACTTGTATATTTGAGTTATTGTAATTTGCGCAAAGCAACAAACACAACAACATATTAGTGACTGGTAGTCATATTTGTTGCAACGCCAGTGGCCGCTATGTATGCAACGCGCTCTTTGCTGCCGTTGCAAGTGTTTTGATCGATTGCGATTTTGGTTCGACGTAATCGCAGCGGTAGCAAGATCGCCGCATTGCCATCGAACAACTTGAAAATTCATAATGTACTTAGAAATTGTGTGTGTTCATAATTTTTTTTATGTCTTTTGTTTTGTTGTTTTTTCCTCAAGCAAAGGCAGCTCGTTGCACTTACAAAGACGGCAACGTAGTCCCCTTCGCTTTTGCTTACGAAACGCTCGCTGTATTCCTTACTTATTTATTTTTTGTCGGATCCATTTTAGGCGTTTATGATTAACTTCTTCTTCTTATTTTGATCAACTTTAATTGCATTCGTTACATTCTTTTTTGCAAATAAATTTAAATTGGAGCGCAATGTGGGGAAATTGGTGTAATAACCATTTTTGAAGAAAAAACATGAAATGATTAACTACATTGTTGTAATATGTCTTAACACCTTACCTGCCCTGAGAAATTCGTGAGCGGATGTGGTCTTAATTCGCACACAGTAAGGAAGTATGAGCTTCTTTGTTGTGTTGTATTGTATGATATACCTTTATACCTTCTTACAATGAGAACATTGTAAGAACTTTTTACAGGGCTGAGTTCGACAAAAATACATAGCTGGTTTGAGGAACTGATACTGAACTGTTTTTGTAGTATCCTAAAAGTACCTAAAAGCTATTAATCTCCTATTGAAGTTTAAAAATTTCTAGTCGAGTTTATGTCATTGATCACTTTATTGAGAACTGTCTGCCGGGAGAATTGCCTTAGATTAAACGAAAGCTACGTGACAGCATGTTGTCGTACGAATTTCATTTATCTAGAAGCTTAAAACTCAATACTACTGAATAAGTAAATCTTTTTTCCTATAAAGAACGATAACAAAACAAGCAAAAAAAGCAATTATTTTCTTCCGTTTAGCTTTGATCTCGAGGAATTCCCTTACAAGGATCGAAAAACTGTTAACCAATTGCAATTGGTTTATATATGATTCTCTGGATTCATCGTTACGTGTCCAACTGGCACTGTGGTGGTGAGTTTCGAGCTCTCACCACTTCCTTATTTATAGAATTGATCACAAAGCGCATAACGCCAGTAAGGTACGGGTGGAAAAGGTATTAAATGCTCGGTATTAAGGGCAACTAGTGGTATCCACACAGTTTCTAAAGCCCAACAATACCAAGAGGAAGGGAAAAGTTGAGCAAAAAGAACTGGTATCACGCTACTTCAAAATAACATCTAAACGCAGCACCTTATAGTGGTTTACCGACGGTTCGAAAACAACGAAGCGGAATTGGTGGTCTTTGGTGACAGTCAAAGCGTTATTGTAACAATATTATCACTGAATAAACAATGGTACTGAACATTTCTACTGAATCACTGCACTAGCTTGTATAGAAAACTGGCGGTTACAAAGCCTTTAAGACTGGAGCCAAACTTGGCACTGGGTCTACAACTTGCAAACTAATCGGTACTGGCCACAAATGTTTGCTTCATGTAAGCGAAGTTATTACTACCTGAAAAGGTTGAAACAGCCTCCGTAGAGGCAAATGACGGAACATACTGGCCATTGCTAGCCTAAGGTAACGTATGAAGAAATGGACATGAGAAGCGGACTGTATTGTAACCATGATAGGGGACATTTAAGCACCAACTAATATGAAATTAAGTCATTGGAATGGTGTATTCGCAAATGGTGCTCGTCACCTCCATTACCCCAAGTGCGTTATAGGGTTTCCTTATTGCGCTGAGTCTAGATGAGACGCAGTTTGTGAGTGGAGTACCCAAGATATTGTACAATCATATATTTTCAGGACAATGAATAGATATATGATTTCAATGCCTGACGAAAATTATTTCGAAAAATACTAATGTAGTATGGCTATTTTTTAGATATCGTTCTGGTTTGCAAGCACATACGAAAGGACCAACATACGAATTATGGTTATAACTTTGCCCACAACCGTTATATTTTAGATTCAATAACATAACACAACGCTTTCGGGTTCGAAGTTTTCGAGGATTACTACTTTTG